TAGATATATAAATTCTCGACAATCTCTCTACATTGTAACATCCATCGCGGATAATATTTTTGCGATGTTTAACGATTATTCGTGGATGAGAATAGCTGTGTCGGCTACTCTGACTTGCGAATGCAAAAATTGATTAAAGTCGTCGAACTCACTGACGACCACCAATCCATTATCCGTCCGAAATTATCCGATTGATTCGAATAGTCGCGGTGAATCTACCGGACAACTGTCTTTTCACGAACACTCCATACATCTGTAATATCGTAATTTAATACTATCGATCGCGCGTAGCGTGGAAAATGAAGGATGAGAATAAGGCGCAATCGGATCGCCCTTGTTGACAATATTGCAAGCGAAATCGATGAAATTTCAGCTCCGGACTCCTCGCGTGCACGAGAAACCCGGTGTCCCGAGAGCTTCACGGACGCGGAAAGATCGTTATTCGGCCGGAGCGATCGAAAAAATAAAGCGGCAGGTGTACACGTCGACGGGGAATAACTCAGCGGTCGCCTTAATAAAAACGAAAAGATGACACGGTCGAAACTAGTTACGATCCGGCAGCACCTGTTTCGCGTTTGTTTCCCAAGAAGGGCACGATTACGCGTAAATATCGAAAAGTTAACATTCCGCCGGAGAAAGTGATGCGCGTTGGATAATTGTTGATGCAAGCGAAAAAATAAAAGGAGACAAAAGAAAAATCGAAGGTTGCGGCCTTCGCAAATTACGCAAAATTACTCACGAAACGAACTTAAATTTCAAATATATTTCGTGGGAATCGCGGCATATTCTATGCAAATACGAGGAGCGATAAAGAGCGGCGCGGCGCGGCGCGATATCTCCGACGTGTGGGAAAACAATTTACCTGGTCGATGAGGGCGGATGGTGTCCGACAATTTGGCTATATCGGCCCCGTCGCAACGAACAATTTCGGGGATCTGCACGTAAGAGCCCAAAAAACAGGAAACCACGTTCCTGGCGTACCCCACCTCTCGCTGCACGCGTGTTCTACCGCCATCCGGTGAAACCTCGCCCGGTAACGACTTCCGGAATCGTATTACCGTGTGCTCCTGAAAGCCGAAAAAATAAACCTGATAAAGCCAAACAGCCGCAGTCATTTCAAAGGGCGGTACGCGTCCCTTTGACGAATACCGAAATGGCAACGGAATTATCAGCTATAAATACGCGTCGTATGATATATTGAATATTTTAATTCCTTTAACATCCTCGTGCTATAAATAAGCCGAGTGAGAAGTTACATTGCGGTTACAGAATTATTATTGTACGGATGGAAAATCGCATGAGCGTAAAGGAAAAAAAAAAAAAAAAATTACAAGGTGGAAGCGCGTCAGCAGCTATATTTCCCTCCCGTCGGCGGTCTGGCTCTGCCTAACAAACAAACGACCCCGCATTTTCTATGCGCCTGGATACGTAACGTGGCTCGCGTTATCAGGAGCAGATCAATGCCTCCCAACCTGGCGGCGTGGCAACGGGGCGAGTGTATGTAGGTCGACTTTATGAAAAATTCTCACGTTAAAGATAAGCCACCGCTCTCCGTCCGTTGTTTCCAGGCACGCTCGACTTGGTCGCCGCGGCATTTACGAACGCCGCGCGTCAATCGATGAACCGGTCGGAGGAGGTGAGACGGGAGCGGGGGGGGGGGAGCAGAGGTTCTAGGACATTCCGAAAATTAATTCGCCCGGACCGTTCCAATTTGCGCTTCGCGATAAGTGTTAAGGTGACGACGACTTGATGCTCCATTCTTATTTTTAGCTTATCTTTTATTTTCTTCAATCCCTCAGCTGAGTGACGACAGGACATCTTCTACTCGAACCTTAGACTAGCCGAAGCGCTCCTTAGGACGGAGCGTGATTAATAACGTAATAATAAATGCGGATGACTAATTAATTCCGAGATGTGGCGAACGGCGCGAGATCTTCCTTTCCCGAGCGCGACGCTTTTATCCCGGCGCGAAAGTGTCCGTCGTCGAATCTTATTCGGGATTTGCGAAAGGCAGCCGCGTTACCCGCGACAATTTCGCAAGGCTCGGAGCAAGGCGGGCGAATGTAACCATTACTTAATAAGCGTGGCGCATTATGCGCCGTGATTTTCGGCATGGCGGTCGACACGCTCGATCGCGGTTATCGGCAAACTTCACGGACCGTGTCGAATTCGATAGTTTATATGGAAAAACGAGCAATGACTAAGCGTCGCCGAGCTGAGCCGAGCCGAGACGAGCCGCGGCCGTCGTTCTTGTGATTTCGATCTACGAAATCGCGTCCTAATTACGATTCTGGATGAGTGTCGAACCCGTGAAAATCCGATTTTGGCCGCTTTCCCAAACGGATTCAGAGATCGCGCTCCAAATTATTTCAGACGATCCGACGATAAAGGTAATTGCGATTTTCGCGATGGGTTCTAATCGCTTTCGCGAAATAACGCGAATAAATGCGGCATTAATTAGCACGTGCTAATCTTCCGCGTGCCGGCGAACCGCGGCCGCGTTAATATAATCGGCCAACATTTTGCCATGTAAAAAGACAGGAGATGAACACAGCCGATCGACCATTGGCCCAATAATGATCCACGGTGAATGCTCGACGGACAGTTGCTGCGCGTCCCACTTTGCTGACCGTTCGCCGAACTATTGATGATTCGATAACAGTCGCAATCTCCAAGCTAGTAACGTTGATTATTTTAGAGGAAAAAATAAGAGAAACGGCAGTGCTAGATGGGAATATATATATAGATGAGCTATTGCAGAATGAAACGTATCGTATTAAAATTGTTCTCATGACAGTTACAGATTTATATCTAGAGATCTGTAAATTCTAGTTATTGACAGTTGAGAGAGAAGAGAGAAGA